CCTCAGTTTTCGTCTACGCCTTCAAGCCCTCCTTCCTCTTCCTTTCCTTCTGATCGTCCACACGGCCCAACCCGCCGCTCCCCATCTCCACGTCGACGTTCGCTTTCCCCTATGCGACGCCGTTCCGGACCCACCGACCAGGAAAACTAACAGCCGCAGTTCCCGAGGCACGAACTGCGTCCCCGTCGCCATGCACAAGTCCTCGCCCCTGTCCAGCTAACGTCATTGAAGTGTCAGTCGATGGTATCGTCGTCATGGCGCTTGTTGACACCGGAGCCGCTCTATCCGTCCTGTCCATGAACCTGTGCCGCAAACTCCGCAAAGTTCTGACGCCATTATCCGGCCTCTCTCTTAGAACGGCTAACGCAGAAAGTGTAACACCTCTCGCAGCCTGCACCACACGAGTCGTCATCGAAGGGATTGTGTATATTGTCGAATTCGTAGTGCTGCCCTCGTGTTCCCATGACATGATACTCGGCTGGGACTTCCTTGCGAATAATAATGCCGTCATTGACTGCTGTCGCGCTGAACTTGAGCTATCTGCACTTCCTGATGTTGACGCTGTCGAAGCCTCCCTGCCGTGTTATAAACTGTTTGTTTCCGACGACACCACCGTACCACCGCGCTCTTCTCTGCTGGTGACTGTGTCGTGTGACGCTATTTCCGACGGTGATGTTTTATTTATGCCCTCTGTCCTGTTCATTCAACGGAAATGTTCTCCCCTGCCCATTGCTCTCCTTACTCTCCACCATGGCGTCACGAAGACGCTCGTGTAATACGCTAGAAGGGCCTTTACCTTTATTCTATGGTGAATGTCTCGGTCACGTGCATCCGATCGACGCCCGTCACATTTTTGACGCTCCATCTAGTTTACTTTCTACGGACCTCAGCGCACTCATTTCTGACTCTGTTGTTGACCAGTCACTCCTTGACGCTTTCCACCGCTCCATCGATGTCGCAACGTCTTCGTCAGAACGAAGCCAGTTAGTGAACCTGCTGCAAAAGTTTCGTACTTCTTTTGACAGTCACGCTTCTGGCCTCAGTCGCACATCGAACATATCTCACAAGATTGACACAGGAAGCCATACGCCTCTACGGCAGCGCCCCTACCGAGTCTCAGCGTCGGAGCGCCGTGTTATTGACGACCAGGTTGCTGACATGCTCCAGCGGGGTATTGTACAGCCTTCTAACAGTCCCTGGGCGTCACCGGTCGTTCTTGTTAAGAAGAAGGGCGGCTCCATTCGGTTCTGTGTGGACTATCGACGTTTAAACAAGATCACCCGCAAGGACGTTTACCCGTTACCTCGAATAGACGATGCCCTTGACTGTTTGCAGGGAGTAGAATATTTCTCTTCGCTGGATTTACGGTCTGGATACTGGCAAGTTCCTATGGAAGCATCTGACCGACCGAAAACAGCATTTCTCACACCTGATGGGTTATACGAGTTTACCGTTATCCCTTTCGGCCTTTGTAACGCTCCAGCCACTTTTGAAAGAATGATGGACGCTATTTTACGAGGCCTCAAGTGGAACACATGTTTATGCTACCTCGATGACGTAGTTGTCTTTTCCACCGATTTCGACACCCATTTAAATCGTCTCGAGCATGTCCTCACACGTCTCACCGACGCCGGCCTTCAACTCAACCTCAAGAAGTGTCGTTTTGGTGCTCGGCAGCTCACCATTCTTGGCCACGTCGTATCGCGGGACGGCATACTTCCCGACCCCGCCAAGCTACGAGCAGTCGCCGATTTTCCGAAGCCAAAAAACTTGAAGGAACTTAGAAGTTTTGTTGGCTTGTCGTCATACTTCCGACGCTTTATTAGAAATTTTGCTTCCATATGCGCGCCCCTTACGGACCTTCTTAGCGGCGACAAGGACCTTTCCACCTGGTCACCAGCATGCGACGATGCATTCACCAAATTACGCCACCTGCTGACTTCACCACCCATCCTCCGCCACTACGATCCTGCCGCTCCCACGGAGGTTCATACTGATGCCAGCGGTGTTGGACTTGGCGCTGTGCTCGCGCAACGAAAGGCAGGGTTTGATGAATATGTCGTCGCCTACGCAAGCCGTACTTTGACGAAAGCCAAGGCTAACTACTCCGTGACCGAGAAAGAGTGTTTAGCTATTATTTGGGCCCTTGCAAAATTTCGCCCCTACCTGTATGGTCACGCATTCGACGTCGTCACTGACCACCACGCCCTTTGTTGGCTATCCACACTTAAAGACCCTTCCGGACTACTTGCTCGCTGGGCGCTCAAACTTCAGGAATACGACATTCGCGTTATTTACAGATCTGGTCGTAAGCACACGGACGCCGACGCCCTTTCTCGCTCACCCATATCGGATGAAGGTGTTCGCCTCTCTTCCCTCGAGCCTGCACTTGCGTCATCCGCCTTGCGCAACATGACGGTGGAACAACGAAAGGATCCCTGGATCAGTGGCCTCATAAGCATTCTTTCTGATCCTCTCACTCCTTCGCCGTCTCGCAACTTTTGCCAGGCTAGCAACTTCTGCCTAAGGGATGATCCTCTTTATCGACGCAACTACCTTTCTGACGGTCGCAAGTGTCTCCTTGTGATACCCCGCCATCTTCGAGCTGCCATCTGCGAAGCTTTTCACGCGGACCCACAGTGCGCCCACGCAGGCCACTTCAAGACATACGCTAGGCTTCGACTCAGATATTATTGGCGTGGCATGTATAACTACGTGCGAAAGTTCATTCGCTCGTGCGCTCAGTGCCAACGACAAAAGTTACCTCCCGGACAAGTCTACCCGTCACAACCTCTTCCTTGTCCTAGTCGACCTTTTGATCGCGTCGGCATTGACATTTACGGACCACTACCATCAACTCTAGCTGGTAATAGCTGGATTATTGTTGCGATAGACCATCTGACACGCTATGCCGAAACAGCCGCGCTGCCGACTGCCACAGCCCGTGACGTTGGAACGTTTCTGTTGCAACGTTTCATTCTGCGTCATGGTGCCCCTCGCGAGCTCTTAAGTGACAGAGGCCGTGCCTTCCTTTCTGACGCCTTGAAGGCATTACTCAACGAATGCCGAATCGTGCACCGCACAAGTACAGCGTACCACCCTCAAACAAATGGCATGACGGAGCGCTTCAACCGTACTCTTGCCAGTATGCTGTCGATGTACGTCGCCTCTGATCATTCAAATTGGGACCAAGTTCTCCCGCTCGTCACCTACGCGTATAATACTGCCGTACAAGCTACTACTGGGTTTTCGCCATACTTTCTTTTGTACGGACGAGAACCTTCAAATACAGTAGACACTATTCTTCCATATAAACCTTACGAGTCCGAAAGTACAACTCTGTCCGAAGCTGCCCGACATGCTGAAGAATGCCGCCAGCTTGCCCGCTCTTTTTCTACCGAGGACCAGTGGCAGCAGCAATCCCGCCAGACTGGGGACCGTTCGGCTCCAAACTTTCCACCTGGTTCATTAGTATGGCTTCGGGCACCTGCTACCGCGCCTGGCCGCTCCGCAAAACTTCTTCCCAAATACATCGGGCCATACCGCGTTGTAGAGCAAACGTCACTCGTCCACTATATCGTGGAGCCCATCATCCCATCCACAGACCTACGCTACCGCGGCCGCGACACTGTCCACGTCTCTCGTCTCAAGCCATATTACGACCCACTAGTCGTTTCTTCTCCCTAATCCGCCAGGATGGCGTCTCTTTGTGCGGAGGGCGATTGTAGTGAAGAAGAGGAGCTTCAGCGGCATTTCTCGGCGCATCAGGGGCATCGCCATCAGCATAAGCTCGTGCTTGCTGCGCTTGGCCGGACGCTGCTGACTGCTTCGCTTTCTGCGTTCTGCGCTGCAAATAAACCCCGTTACAGTTTATTTATTTATTTAGGAATATTGCAGGCCTTGAAAAGGCCCACGCAGGAGGGGAAAGGTACAAACACACAGTAAAAAGAGTGCAAGTACCAAAATTAACATATTGACAACAAAATCAATCTACCAACAAGTGAACAAGCACTCAAAATGTGAGGCAATGAAATAGATTATACAGAATGAAGAGATCATGAATACATCACTATCGAATAAATGTACAAGGGTATCTGGGCAAGGCTTGGTTTAAGATGTAATGGATGCGATAGAGTTGGTGTTGTTGAGTGCACTTAGAGGTCGGCTGTTCCAGTCTGCTACAGCTCGAGGGAAAAAGGAATACTTAAATATGTTGGTTTTGGCATTGTAAGGCGTTAATGTGGCAGAGTGGTGATGCACAGACGAGGTAACATTCAGTACATCAAACCACTGACATAGCAAAGAACAAAGTGAGTTGATGTAGGGGAGGCTCAAACCTATCTAAATCTTCCAGTTTTGCATGTGTATATATACCAGCACACCTACAAACACATGCACGAGCACATAAAGGGTGGTTGAACCATCTGTCAAAAATATTTCTGGCCTCATCCCAGCGTAAAAGTGCCTGTAACAGCTAGACTGCCTCGAAATACAGAAGACAAAGAAACACTCAATGTTTCACCATAATAAAATAGATGTAAATGCTTTATTTATAACAAGTATCACAACAAAGTCTGCCTATGTGATCACACGAGCTTCATATTGCAAAGGCACACAAAGGCAACCATAGCACAGCAGTTATTGCACAATAATCATTGCTTCAAATACGAAAATTTAGGGCTGAGTAATCCACATAGACTCGTTTCAAGTGAAACGGCTCATGCCATATGAGCATATCTTTTGACTCGTACACTTTATCACAACAACCACTACTTTTACCGGCCTGATTAGCAGCAACATAACATCGTTTGCATGACAAATTGTTCATAGCACCCATTATCACTTGCAAAAAAAAAAAACAATGTCACAATTCAATGCCATTCACCATTTATGAACTTGCACTGGGCAGCCTATAAGTTGAATGATGAATTAAAACGCAGCTGCCCACTGGGGTTTGGCCGAAAAAAAAAACAGCTGTTTTAGGGATGCAAAAAGAAAAAGGCCAGGACAAACTGTCTTTACTGTGACACCAGCAATACGAGCAAGCCTAGTCAGTCTTGAAGATTAACACAAATTCTCCATGAGGACATTAGTAGTACATAAGACACCTGGGTTGGTAATACAACAATACAGCACAAGTGAATGCAGAGTTTAGGTGGACATACAAATTCGGGGTTGTAGATAGGCTGTAGCCAAGAACACAAGCCTTCATAAAAATAAGCATTTGTGTTTTGTGGCATTCCTAATGAAAAGCAGAAACTTCAACCACACTTAATAAAAAAAAACATTCATTCAGTGCAGTGGTTCACAAGCAGAATACAGCCTTTTTAATCCTGGGTGGTTTTACCTATGTTACATGAATACAGATAAGTACAACCTAGAAAGATCTGCTGGATCAACATATTGACATCAACACATATTAACTGTATGACATTTTCTATCATTGTGTTCAAACTACAGGTCAAACTGAACTGAATGTCAATAAAACGAAACAATGTCTTGGTTGCTGTTGTGTACTGCCAGGTGATGTCGCTGTAGCCACCCTCCCGCCCGGATGTGCAGTAGCCATGTTGAATGCATCAGGCAGTTCAGGCTGCCGCATTTTGCACGGCTGTCATAATAAACCAATTTGAATCAACCTCCAGTTCTGCGAGTTCATACCCTTGTGTTCCACCTCGCCACCTGTGCGAGCTGTACACAGCAGCTGCCATGTGGAATCAAATACAGCTTTAAAGCACATTCACATATACTCATAGAGCAGGAGTTGACCAACAAAAAAAATTGAGAGAAACTTGGCTGTCAGAATTAGCTGTTGTTGAGGGCTAATAGCAACTTATGCTGTAAAAAAATAACCACTACCATGGATGTGACCCATTGAAGAAGCCTACCTTCAACGGACACACACAAAAGAACTCAACTTATGCAAGTTGCCTCTTGAATGTGTTAGCATTTTGCATGTTGACTCTACAATAAAACTGTCGGTGAGTCCCTCTGTAATGTAAAAAACTACGATCTGTGTTGCAGGTTTTGTGAAATATAGATTTTTCACTTGGAATGACTTGTTTTCAGGTTATTGGGCAGCGCTATGCAGCCCTTTATATGCCGGGAACATTGAAGTTAATTAAAGGTATACGCTAGCACATATTCAGCTGCTACAGTGAAAAGAAAGCTGATGCTGAGCCTCGAATGAGAACATTGTTTAAAGGAGGAAAGTGAAAACATTAAATCCATCAATCAATGACCTCAAACAGAGATTGCTCATTTCAGAAAATGCCTCCACAATGCTTAAAAGTGCTTCATGTGGTTTCCCTTGAAAGTTTTGCAACACTTGCTTAAGCAAATAGCCAGTGAAAGAGGCAAGTCAACTACCAAGCAAATCCTCGAGGAATACGTACTTGACTGTATATGTCTGCACTCATAGTGTAAGTGCATTCGAAAACATATATAATTATGTCAGCCAGACATTTGAGTGTGCTTTGCTGCATTCATCAGCTCTAACAAAATGATATTACCCCAATTAATTGAGAATCTGACCGGGACGGTTGCATTTTTTTTTCCGGTCATTTCAACGTCTGCTATGCATTCTCGAGCGCACAGCCCTTCTAAGGGCTACCCCAGACATGGACCCGCCTGTACTTCGGTACCAGGCTTGGGCCAGCAAACAACTGAAGACTGACTTTCACCCAAAGCAGAAGCAGGATGTGTCAGCAGCATCAACGCTTCGCAACAGGTCGCCATGGCCGTCGGCCGCAACTGTACAAAGCTCTCCTTAGGGCGCACGCGAGGAAGACCCTATTTGAGACCATAATGTTGAGGCCTAAAGCATTTAACATCACCCAGATTCCGCCGTACCAGTTTGCGTATAGACTCCGTCTAAGTCTTCCTCAAACAAAGGGGTCGGACATTCACTGCAGACTCCTTCCCAAGTCTAACCTAGCAGTAGTTGATTGCTAGCAAGCTGCACATCTATTGCTGAACCTGGACCACCTGATCATTGACGATCAAATCGTGCAGTTTAATACATATGTTGCGCTCGGTGAAGGGCGCATAAGAGGCATCATTCACAGGGTCAAGGGAATAACTGAAGAGCAGTTAATGCAAGGCCTGACAAGTTCAACTCATGAAGTCGTGTCAGCACGCGTCTCAGGTCGTCTAACACAGCACTAATCACGTTCAACGGTTCAAACCTGTCAGAATACGTGGCTTTCGAATGAGTACGTTTCCCTGTGCACAAATACAGACCCAAGATTACGTCACGCTTGAACTGCTTAGGCATAGGACACAGAGCTGACGTTTGCACAGATCCTAAAAGGGACCCAGGAGTTTGCACCAAGTGCCATACAATACATGCGGAGGATTTTATCTGTACTTCGAAATACATACACTGCAATGGACCCCATGACTCGCGCACACCTGACTGTCCAAAGGTAGCAGCAGCTACTGCTGCTCTTCGTAAGCGAGTGAGCAAACCACCCAAGCCAGCGGCACCCTATTCCTCACCAAACCGCTGCGCGTCAGGCAAAAAGTAACCCTAGAGTAGGTATGAGCTATTCTTTTGTGGATTAGTGGCAAAATGATAGGCGCGGATGGGAGTGCAACCCATTTTTCAGGGCAGTAATGGAATAATTGTCTTTTGCAGGCCGGCACCACAGGCAGTGACGCTCATTCGTCCGGATTAGTGAACAGTGATGAACAAGCAGAAGTCATCAGTCGACAAAAAAGGAAAGTGGTTTGGACAACTGCGGAATTTGACCGACCCCCCACAACATTTCATCGCTCCAGTGACACTGATGTCAATCTTGTGAGTGAACCACCTGAATACTTCTTACGGTACATCACAGAGGACATTTCTGAAGAAATTGCGCGTTGTACGAACATATACTCACTGCAGACAGGAGGAGCCATCCTGGGAACAACCCCAGAAGAAGTGAAAACGTTTTTCGGGATGCTAATGATAATGGGAACCCTGAAATTCCCACGCATCAGGAATGTATTGGAATCCTGCCACGCAAATACCGAGCGTGTCAGAGGCCATGAGCGTGAACAGATTTTTCAGGTTGCGGCCAGCGTTGCACGTCACAGAGCCAGATGCGAGCCATACTGGTACAGACAAGTTTTGGAAGGTACGACCGCTACTTGATGCTGTAAGGAAGAGGTGCTTAGAGTTACCTGCGACTGAAAAAAGCAGCATCGATGAGCAAATGATCCCCTGCACGGGAAGAGTTGCGGTCAAACAATTTGTTCGGAACAAACGAAACTTCGAAGGGGTAAAAGTGTTTCTTCGGTGGAGCTCCAGTGGGGTAGCACGCGACTTTGAGATTTATCAAGGCAAAGGTACTGGCACATCTGCCGAGCACAAGCATCTTGGACTTGGTGGCTCTATTGTCATGAGGTTGGTAGAAGGTCTCCCTAAACAAGAGAACTTCAAATTGTATTTTGACAATTATTTTACATCTATTCCACTACTGCAGGAGCTAAAAGAAATGGGCATTTGGGCCATTGGCACCATTTGCAGCAACAGATTGCAGAGATGCCCATTGAAGCCTGACAAAGTGTTAAAAAAGGAAGGACGCGGCAGTATGGATGTCAGGGTCACTCAAGGAGGTGACGTAACAGTTGTGAGGTGGCAGGACAATGGCATCGTGAATGTTGCGTCAACGTTTGTGGGTGTTGGGGAGGCAACAACTGTGAAGCGGTAGAGTGAGTGCACAAAGCAGCATGTTGACATACCATGCCCCGAAATTATCACCAAGTACAACGAATCGATGGGCGGAGTCGACAAGATGGATTTCTTGCTGTCTTTGTACCCACTAAAACAACGAACGAGAAAGTGACCAGTGCGAGTAATTTCTCACTTTACATCATTTCCTCTTGTAGATAGCTGGCAAGAATACCTGACCGACGCGAATGACAACTCCATCCCACGCAGGAAAGTCCTGGACTTTTTAGCTTTTCAGAACAACGTGGGATTGGCGCTAATCATGTCTCACAAGAATGGTGCCAAGAAACGCGGTTGACCAAGCAACGAAGCCAAGGAGCCACCGAAAAAACTGCACAATGCTGAGCTTCGGCCTGTAAATGCCGTACGGTATGATGGCCTACACCACTGGCCAGCAAACACAGGCAATAGTTTTGCTCAGCGTTGCAAGTTGGAAGGCTGCAGGTCAAAGACACGAGTTCGGTGCAGGAAATGCAATGTCTTGCTGTGTCTTCCGGCGACGAATGACTGTTTCTATACTTTCCACAACAAGTGAGACAATGTCTTCATCTTAATGGTCTCGTGCAAGGACAGCATGTGCTAATAACATCATTTTCTGTATGAAATAAACCAATTCCTTGTCTGAGACATGTATTTGCGCCTCCTGTCTTGTGTGCCGAGTTACAATGTACACATATGTGTACGCGTGCTAAAGCTTAGGCAAAAGTAAAAACATTTTTTTTTCTTTGCTTTATTTGTGTCCCTGGGACATCCTTTTACAGATAAATATATGTGGGAATTTTCCTGCACTTTGCTAAATGTATGACTGAAGGGGCTGTTGCAGCGGCAGCCACCCCAAAGCACAGTGCCCTGTGGAGCGCCCTCGGTTTATCAACTGCAGCGGCAGCCACCCCAAAGCACAGTGCCCTGTGGAGCGCCCTCGCTTTATCAACTGCAGCGGCACCCATCCAGCCAATAAGCTGCGCTGCCCCTCCTGGCAGATCCAGCGCGAGGCTGCCGTGATCACTGCCTCCTCCGATGGCCCCGTGATGCGCTGTCAAGTCTTGGAGAAAGCCAACCGTTGTCAACATCGACAAGCGTGGCGGTCGTGAAGGGTCGCTCCTCTCGCGACGCTCTCGTCGGTGGCAGCCGAACCGCTTCGGAGACCGCCCCTCACCTCAAGGCAAAGCTATGAATGATGCCCAAGGAAAAGCAAATGAGGTTGCAACAAACAACAAACTTTGCTGCAACCACACACATGAAATGGCTATCAGGAAGTACCTGGAGTGGAATGGCAAGAAATATTTTGACACTATGCTGACATTGTAGCGAGGCTGTTTTTGGATCATAATCTCTTGGGAAAAGAATGCACTAACATAGTGAACTGTGTCTCAGGAAGCTGTATGAGACAGAAGATGGCACCACTGACATAAAGGCATGATTGAGATGTGATGCCCTCATAATTTTACAATGCTCAAAAACCTGGGGGATTCCATTAATAGTCTATTAGCGATGAGTAAAAAAGCTATAGTAACTGCGATTTTCATAGAGGAAAAATCATAGCACAGGTAGTTGGAAGAGGCATGGCACAAGAAAATGAGTGTGCCGTGCGTCCACTACCAGGAATTCTAAAATGTAACTGCATCCTTCTGCATCATCTAGCCCAATGCACATCATAGGCTTAGAACACTAGGCAGCTCTAATAGCAGGATGTAGCAGAGGCAGATGCTTACTTGAATGGGTCACACGCCACTATCTTTTATGGCTAGAGCTATGCAACCAAGGAAGGGAATTATACAATTGTAATTGCTTCTTCAAGTGAAAAGTGTGATTGCAAAATATCAGTTGTAAGCTACAAGGATAGAAGCCATGCTTCAACTCCATCAAGCGCGGCCTACCAGGCTTGAACAGTAAAAAGACAAAGCTTCTTGTCAATTGTTGTTTTACACTATCACACAGAGGCAAGGCTTCTATGCTTTGAATG